TCACTGACTCAAAGTCAACTGAAGGAGGCACATTAAGGAAAGGAATCAATGCCTGAGCTGGGTATATGAAAATACGCGAGAGGATTCCAGGAATGCAGTGCAATGATCACAGAACGGCACATGTCCTATCCATCATCACACGTGGCATGAGGAAATGTGACATGTGAGGGGTTTCGTCGTTTACAACCAAACCTTCAAGGGCTTTTGTGAAAACAACTATGACAGGAGGGATTTTCACGATCTTGATGAATGGCAGGGGGGGGGGGAGGGTGACAAAAATGAAGTCACACAACTGCTGGCGTGAAATCAACGTCGCACAGAGTGGCGAGTGATATACAGGTGTAGGCCAAAATTCTGGTAACTAAGACATTATATCATAAAAAGTAATATTAGATTAATAAAAGAAACTTATGCGAAAAATATTGGCCTCTAGTATCACAAAGCAAAGCTAGGTTGGGTTTGAAAACTGTTGGCTACTGCATTAAAGCAACAATCCAAGAACGAATTCGCGGGCAAAACCACCGATAATGAAGTTGTAGGTGAAAAGTTGACCAATAATGAAAGAAAAGTAAAAAAACGTCGAACAGGGACTTAGACAGGGACTCCCCCCTGCCACTTAGCAATGGAGGAAGACGCGTGTTGGACGAGTTGTCTGAACATGCCCGCAGTAAATGCGCCCAATTGCAATTGCTGGCTACTTGCCAGCAATTGCAATTGGGGCGCAATAATGAAATCGTTTTATGTTTTGAAGGTAGAAGGTAGAAGGAAAAAACGTAGAAATCCAGCGTAGTCGGCATCACCACATCGATTGCTTTGAAGGACCGAGCTTCAAATAGTCCCTGTGGTCCCAAAACGAGCAAATGCCTCCGCAGCCAATCACGGCTGGCAAGTGGGCGTTCCCAAAGAATTTCCAACCACACCCATTTAAGGAGTTTTACGCCCTTTTTGCGGCTTTCCGAGGTGAGTTCTGTTTACAATTACACTTCATATGTTCTCCACTAGGGCTAGTGCATCCTTTCAATCCCAATAGTATTGAAAGCAACAGACCCTGCTTGGACTGTTGCTTCAATACAGGCTTTCATATGGAGAGCGAAGGCGTCCACGATGGCATGCAGGTGAGACACGTCGAAATGATTCCAAGTTTTTTGTTGTGTCATCTTCAGGGAACCAGGCTTTTCTGTAGGTTTGCTCTTGTCTTGAGGATGATCATGCAGAAAATCCGGATGGGTTTGATGGGGGATGGCTGAGTAACAGTTGATTAAGATTGAAAGATTATGAACATGAAAACTTTTTTGCAGAATATTCGACCTATGGCTAGGTGACTTGCCTGCACAAACGCCACGCGAAAAGAACTTATCCTGCAGAGTGGCTTTCCTGTCTACGCACTCTAGAATCTAAGATCTTACCGAGCGTCCTAAATGGGCTCTCTACATCCAATTCTTTACGAATTATGGTGAGCAGCGAAGAACAAAGATCGATATTTTTGAAATCTGGTCTTTGATGGCGTATTGTTAACGGATAGAGGATAAAGCATGTGCCGTGTCCCTTTTTGGGATGCGGCACGCATTCTACTTCCATTTGTACATTCGTAGTGGCGTTTGAATGCGATGTGGCCTATACAATGACTTGCGGCCAGCCGACAAGTCAGTGTTTTTATCCTCCCAGACAAGTCTGGTACCAATTAACCGACCCCGGAGGGATGGAAGGCTTGTTGGCCCGGGCGACTCACCGAACCACGGGCATACGACCCCAGATCGCTCGCGTGGTAAGCGTGCTACATTCCAGAACACCGTTGCCGCCCTACTGGTGGCGCCCGTGCCTTTCATACTAACTTTTTAACTTTTTTTTATACTTTTCATCTCAGGCGGTTACTAATTGATTAAAACGCGCTTTAAGTGTTATCCAAAAGAGCTCCTTTGTCACTTTGAACTGTCGCTAGATGTGTCGTGCCAGAGCCCCTTGCTCGTTCAATTTGTGGATTGGCCTGCAGTGGTGTAGCGGTTTTACAAACTTGGGGAACTGTTTATACGACATCTGGTTTCAATAAAAAGAAGACTCGTCCTCAGTCGTATTATGCTCAAAATGTAGGAGGGAAAATGAAAAGATCAGGTGAAAAAGTGGATTTGAACGTGTGAACTAGTGATTACCATAATTTTAGCCCATCCTGCAGTTACCAGGAGAGAAAATGTAGCTCTATACATGCAGGCCTGACCGTTTCTTGTCCTCGCAGTGATCAGTATGTACATTAGAGCTGGATAAGCTCGATGAGACCCACAGTATCCGCTTTATCTAAATACAAGTGTAATCCTCAGCATTCACCTGCAAAGGGCTACCGTAAATTCCAGTCGGGGGGAGCGCCACATAACACAATTAACATACGCCCGCCTGCTAGCGCACGCACCTAACATCGAAATCGGCATACAATACTTCCAAACTGCGCACATCCATTGTACGGCACACATGCACAAGGCTCCGATTTTTTTTCTCGATTTGCCTCCCTTAGAATGCAGGCTTCCCGCAGGTGCTGTTCTGATACATATAATAGTACTTGTTCCGATTTTTACGAAGACCGAAAACAACGACAATGGAGTTTTGAAATTCACACAACTCCTCGCCGCCGGGCGGGTCCCGTAAAGAACGGGACCGAGCGACGCGGTCGCGTAGCGGCCAGGCCGCGTTGGAGGGGCAAGAGACCCCTCCGCATTCCGGCTTTCGTTTTCGTAGCGACTGCTTCGTGTCGCGGTATTTCTTGGAGTTTTTTTCCCTTTGGCTCGTTTATTCTATTCGAGAGCCTCATTATTCGATAAGGCGAGGGCCTATACCCCCCTCCTTATAGATTATATTCGTTGTGGACTAAACCCTTTTAGTTCCACTTGCTTTGTTTGAGCAAATAAGTCAGCATTAGCGCCTGTTTTCTATTTTATCAGCTCTTCGCCCTATCTAATTCAAACTGCGATGAGAGCCTTCAACTTAACTTATCACCAGCTCTTTTTCTAAAGGAGTTCTGTAGGCCAGTTCTTCAAGGTTACGCAATCGTAGACAGTTTCGTAATCCAGGCAACCAAAGCTCCTTCATCGTGTTTCATCATCGATCGTATTTCATCATCGGTCACGAGTCATATTTTCATACAGTGTGAAGCCCAATACGGCAGTATTGATTTTCTTTTTCATACGACCCAGCATTCTTAATTCGAATTGTTCAGGCGCTTATCGGCCTGTTGTCTTTTATCGTGGACCCGAGCCCACGTCTTTCATTGTGGAGTGGGGCACAAAATTCTGTGCGTTTCATCAGACTCGAGTGAGTACCAATACTGCCTTCGTATGGTATATTTAATATTATTCTGCACAACGCAGAGTCATTAGCGAATATCAAGTTTTTTGATACTGCAGATTACATCCGTGGGAAACGACGTCGGTCCCAAAAATTGAAGGGAAGCTATCCTTCTAGAAGATTCAAAGTGTGGATTAGTGTGAGACGAACTAAGAAGATAATCTCAGCGAGAGTCAGCTAACTCTCAGGTAAGTTGAACAGGCTCTTTCACTCGATAGAAGGACAGCTATCCTTCAAAAAATTTTTATTATTCAACAGTGGTCTCTTTCGTTTTAGATACACGATACTACAGCAGTTCGACCGCAGTTTTTTATTTGGAGAGATTCAGTCATCTCTGAAGTGAGTTGCTACAGTTGGCAAAGTATTCAGTTAGGCTGTTTTCATAACAAAAGAATTTTTATCGTGCCGGTCGTTTCGTTTTTAGAGTGAAGTTGTGAACGAGCAAGTTGTTCTTGTCAAGATTGAAAGGACGTTATCCTTTTTTGTCAGGCTTTCTGGAGTCAAGATATTCGAGCAGCTATAGCTAATTCTTGGGTGATTAAAGTTAGTTTACCTCTCAACAATCATAATTAATATCATTTATGTACTTGTTTGCTGATTCAAAAATCCTTCAATAAAATGGATTCCAATCAGAATAACGCCAGATCAACTACCCAACCAGCTCCAACAGTCCCTGCCCCAACGGCTCTGGCAGCAGCGCCACAGCGCTTATCGAGAGAGGAGATCGCGACAATGTTGGCTAAGCCAGCTACCCGTACGGACCCGGTAGTGCCTACAGCTGCTGTCACATTGGCTCCTGTAGCTGGCTCGTCGACTACCCCTACTTTTACGAAGGCGAACTTCAAAAGCAATTGAATTCAACACGGAAATACTGAGGATGATTTCGCCAATCGCGGAAATTGCCCCACCGGAGATGTGGAAGTCAAAAGAAACTCTAAGTCAAGCCATTACGTCTCTGACACAAGTAACGAGGTGCTAGTTGTAGCGGACAAGGATCCCTCAGTGTGGGAATTCTTTGATCAACACAGCAAAGCTCGAAAAGTTTGAGGCTTCAAACCCTATTTTGGCCGATTTTCTGTAGTTGGATAAGAAAGTAGAGAAAAAGGAGACGGTGAAGAAAACCAGCTGGACACGTCCCCATCCCTATGCGGCGAGGGGCTATCAGCCCTTCCGGCAGGGAGGAGCGACCTGGGCACTCGCTCCTCCTTCCAGCGCGTACTCGCCTTACTTCAACAGAGGCAGGGGTCGTGGCCAAATGGGTCGTCCGTCCGCAACAAATTTTTTCAAGGATCTCGTTTGGAAGGGCCATGACTGTTTCGAATATGTGGCAAGGCATCTCGTCATTTACGGGCGTGTCAAGCAACAAGGAAGGTGAGTTTCTTAGCAGGTGGCATTCACCGCAATATCCAGTTCTGATTGAACCCGGACCTTTCGGAGCTGAATAAATCAGTCCTGCAATACGGGTACTTCAGTCAACTGGAACTGGGTTTCATTAAGGACAATGCTACATCAGCATACGAAGATGCCGATTTTGTAAGATTCGGAAATCAGTAAATTGGTTCACAGCAAGGCGATTCAAGAGGTCAAGGACCACGGCAATTTACGAATAAATCCTATCTCAGTAGCAGTCGGTAAGAAATTGCGCCTTATTTTGGACCTGTCCTGTCTCAATAAGAAGCTTCACAAGTCTAAAGTGAAGTTTGAAGACGTGGCCAAGGTTTTGCCTCTCCTCCCCCAAGGTGGTTATATGGCCTCATTTGATTTTAAGTCGGGTTACCATCACGTGAAAATGCACCCCGATTTCACAAGATTTTTGGGCTTTGAATGGCGACAGAAATACTTCAAATTTCTGGTCCCTTCCGTTTGGGTCAGCTCCGGCTCCTTTCGTATTCACTAAGACGTTCCGGCCACTTTTGAGAAAATGGAGAGAAGAAGGTTTATCAGTGGCACTTTATCTTGACGACGGCCTCATCTGGACAAAGTCGGCACAGCTTTGTGAAGAATATGTAAACATAGTCGGGACCGTAACTCAGCGGGAGTCTCCTGTGCAGATGAAAAATGCAATCGGACCCCAACCCAAAGAATCACGTGGTTAGGCCACGAAATTGGCTTAAACAACTTTACCTTAGACGTAACCGCGGAGAGGAGAGAGAAAACCCGAGCTTTAGCCATGAAAGCTTCTGAAAAGTAGAGGGACATCTCTACTAGATAGATTCAAATGGCTGGGTCATATCGCCTCAATGTACTTGGTGATTCCTTCAGATTTGAAAAGAAAGTGGAAGACCATCGTCACCCAAGTGGCTCGTATGCAAACAGAGCAATGCGCATTATCGTTTCGGTTGGAAACTGTCAGGGGAAGAAAGAAGTGAGTTATCTGATTGGTTAGACTTTGAATCCTCCTTTAAAGGAGTTCCCATAGACATTTCCAAATTGTTCCCTTATCATTCTCTTGTGGCTTTTTCAGATGCCTCAGAGTTTGCATCAGGGGCCATATTTTTAGGTTGTCTCATAAATAGTGTCGGCTCTTTTTTCAACACAAAAAAATTTAATCTAACATCCCATGCTTTTACACATATTCGAAAGAGAATTGTCTGCTCTACAAGAGCTGTGTTCTCTTTCCACCTCTGTTCCATGGGTTTTCAAATTTTAGGCCTGCGAAATGGGAGGTCCCGCCGACAAAAATTGACCAAACCGACAACTAGCTCTAACTTTATTTTCCCTTGGGAGAAATCAATCAATGATGTACCCTCTACTTATGCATGACCTCTTCTAAACATTACACTATTAGGTTTCCCAACAAGTCGCGTCATTCCATTTCCAGACCTGGTTTTTCAACCAGAACTCGACGGTCAAGCACCATTACCTGAGATCGAGGTCGAAATTTTTTTATAGCCGAGACATTGAAAAACTAGTAGAATTTAAAGAACAAGTCATGACTAAGTTAGGAATGTACGCCTGGTTGATTTTCTCATCTTCTCAAGGGATAATTTTTTTCAAAGAAATGCGGTCACTTTCGTGGTAAACACCTTATTCCTAAACACTAAAATTCGAACTAATTCCCAACAAACATAAAAACAAAACAAATGAGCGAATAGAGCAGAAGAAGTGCTCACAAAAGATACACCAGTTGATATAAAACAATAGCGTTTCAGAGGAAGAATTTCAATTTGAAAATTGCCATGGCTTATCGGTCAGGCCAATTCGAAAAGAAACAGGGCAAACTTTTTCGGCAACCTAAGGGTGGAATGTTCAGAAGAGGTCATGAGTAAGTAGAGGGTACATCATTGATTGATTTCTCCCAGGGAAAATAAAGTTAGAGCTAGTTGTCGGTTTGGTCAATTTTTGTCGGCTGGACCTCCCATTTCGCAGGCCTAAAATTTGAAAACCCTGGAACAGAGGTGGAAGAGGAACATAAATCTTGTAGAGCAGACAATTCTCTTTCGAATGGTATATGACATGGTGTAAAAGCTTAAGGATTTAGTAGAAAACTTTTTGTTTGAAAAAAGCGACACTATTTATGAGACAACCTAATACATTTAAACTCAGGCTCTAAAATCACAACGTCCTCCCTGCTACACTCCTCTTTCTTAGGCTGGTCACATTCCAGGGAGTTATTTGGCATACTGGCCAGTCTTTTGTTCCCTTTCAAATCCTGTCTATGGCACTGTGACAGTCAGTGCGCAGTCAGTATCCTGAAGAAAGGAGGCATAAAAGCCGATTTACAAGAATTAGGCCCGTTCAAATTTGGGATTTATGTGAGATCCTCTGTTCTAACGTGGAATTTGTGTGGATTCCTAGATCTCTAAATTCCGAAGCGGACGAAGCGTCTAGATTTGTAGACTTAGACGACTTGGAGCATCTCCAGGCATATTTTTTGGAGCTCAATAGCTCTTGGGGAGAATGCACAGTGGATATGTTTGCCAGTTCAGTCTCAGCGAAGTGCAAAAAGTTCATTTCCAGGCTTGCTTGCGAAGAGTCGAGTGGAATTGATGCGTTTTCAAGTGAATCAACCATCTGGTGGAATTCTTCTTCCAATTTCTGGTTGGTGGGTTCCTCCTCCTCCATCTCATTCCTAAAACTTTGGCCTGGGCCAAATTGCATCGTAGTAGGGGGATTTCAGGGTTCCCAATGTGGCCCTCAAACCTTTTTCCCGTGGCTTAGACAAAATGATTCTTGGATTCCAGAGCTGAAAAGTATAAGGTTTTTCCCAGCAGGTTCTCCAGTATTAGACGGCTTTTCCCCGTCCTACACGTTCGGCTCGCCCTCCCTGAATTTCGATTTTGCCTTCGCTCTTCTCTCTAACCCCCTCCGGGCTTTAAACTGTTCCGTTAATGTAGTTGTGTGAAGGACAAAACGTAGGTTTCGTCGTAGAGTATCGGAGACGAAAATGGAGTTTCGAAATTCACACAACTCCTCGCCGCCAGGCGGGTCCCGTAAGGAACGGGACCGAGCGACGCGGTCGCGTAGC